GCCTTCTTACATTCCTTACACTTGTAGGGTTTCTCACCAGTATGAATTCTCTGGTGTTGAGTAAGGAATGAATAAAGTCTAAAAGCCTTCCCACATTCCTTACATTCATAAGGTTTCTCTCCAGTGTGAATACTCTGATGCTGAGTAAGTTGTGAGAGCAATCTGAAAGGTTTTCTACATTCTTTACATTCATAAGGTTTCTCCCCAGTGTGAATACTCTGATGTTGAGTAAGCTGTGAGAGCAGTCTGAAGGCCTTCCCACATTCTTCACATTCATATGGTCTTTCACCAATATGAATGCTCTGATGTGAAATCAGTTGTGAGTAACTACTAAAGGTCTTCCAGCATTCCATGCATTCATAGGGTTTCTCACGAGTATGAATTCTCTGATGGCGAACAAGTTGTTGTCTTAATCTGAAAGTCTTCCCACATTCCTTACATTCAAAGGGTTTTTCACCAGTATGAATACTCTGATGGACATATCCTAAAGTAAGCTGTTGGCATATCCTAAAGGCCTTTCCACATTCCTTACATGCATAGGGTTTCTCACCAAAATGAATTTTCTGATGTACTCTAAGGTCTGGGCCACATACAAAGGCCTTCCCACATTCCTTACATTCATACAGCTTTTCAGAAGTATGAAGTCTCTGGTGTCTTGTAAGATGTGTACACTGTCGAAAGGTCTTCCCACAGTCCTTACACTCATAGGGCTTCTCACCAGTATGAATTCTCTGATGCCGAGCCAACTGCTGATGAACTCTAAAGGCCTTTCCACATTCCTTGCATTCATAAGGTTTTTCACCAGTATGAAGCCTCTGATGTTGAGTAAGTTCTTGGAGCACTGTAAAAGCCTTGCCACAGTCCTTACATTCATAGGGTTTCTCACCAGTATGAAGTTTGTGATGTCGAATAAGGTGTGCACGCTGCCTAAAGGCCTGCCCACATTCTTTACATTTATAAGGTTTCTCACCAGTATGAATTCTTAGATGTTGACTAAGTGTTGAGCGACGAATAAAAGTCTTCCTACATTCCTTACATTCATACAACTTTTCTCCATTGTTAATTCTCTGATAATCCGTAAAAAATTTTTGCTTTTTATAAGTGGTCATTTTTTCAGAGCCAATTTTTGCCTGCCCAAAATACCCTCCTTGTGGTTCTTTTTGGCCCTCAATTTTGCTTTTGCATTCACAGTCATTTCTAAAAATGGAACCCTGAAAGTTATAGCTCTTTATTCTTTCCATTATCTCCCACTGTAGTGAACATATTTCATAAATGTCCTTTTCTGGAGATAAGGTATTGGTCCCGCACCTAAAGGCAATGCCAGGGTATAAGTTTCTTATCCCTTCCTTCACAATCATCCCAGGTTCCTTCCCTTCTTCATCCAATAAGGTAATCATATCTGGTTTAGAAATAGAAGCTCCTAGTGAGATGAAGTTGCTATAGTTCTCCCACATTACATCCCTATATAAGTCCCTCTGAGCAGAGTCCAGGAATTCCCATTCTTCCTGTGAGAAGTCTATAGCCACATCTCTGAATGTCACTGAACCCTGGAAAGATGAACTTATGAATTATTTGTGAAAATGAATTAAATATTTCTTCAAATGGAAAGAGATGAGATTGAGGACTTTACTGCTGAATGGGGACTACATAGCATGCAAATAGGGCTGGAAACTTATGACATGAATAGAGCAGCAGGGAAATTAGAATTTCAGAAGTAGAGTGCCTACATGGTCATAACTAGTCTTGCAACTATACATTAAAATTTAGCCAAACATATCTGGAAATAATAAAATAACCTAAATATCTTGATTACATTATGCTTGCTTCAGCAGCACATCTACTAAAAATCTCGATTAAACCAAATAATGCATACAAGCCTTCTGTACATAGTCATGCCTCCACTATAAACTCTAAGGAAATGTGAGGTCTCTGTCTCTTTTGCCTTTATTGATCATGGAAACACAAGGGTAGAAATTTCTCCCAAATGTATTACGAAGTTTCTCTGAAGGTAAGGTCAAATTCACAGCAGAAAAAATAACAGAGATAGAAAAGTTCACAAGAGAATAAGATTTTATTATAAATGTCTTCCTTGTTAGCAATCAATACTTTAGTGAACTTTAAATATTCCAATGCATAGTGGTTCTTTTTAAGTATATTAGATTCTCTTTAAAATTTAGATAATTGGGGCCAGGGAGATAGCTCTGTAGAATAAGCACTTGCCTAGCAAGGTCCTTAGTTCAATCCCTGGCACTGCAATAAATAAATAAATAAATAAATA